TTATTATTTCTTGCCTATATCTTGTAATATGAGAAACTACTTTGGCAGTAACAATACACAATGTACTAACCATTGTTACTCTCCTAAAATTTTGTTTTGAGATTTTTGTACCATTGTTTTTAATTTTTTTTCTTTAAAATAAAATAATTGATGTCAAAAAAAAGAAAAAAAATAACAACAAAAAAAAAAAAGTCAACCGACACCCGCTACTCCACTCCTTCGATTTAAAACTTTTCTTTTACAGAGTCTTTGAGGGCCATGGAGTAAAGCTACAGTTTCAAACAGGCAATCTAAAATTTCATCTCTTCTGAAAGAGCTACAATGGGTTACCAAAACTCAGCCTTCCCATGATCTGCTTAGATTTCTGTGAAAATGTTAGTTTCTATTTCTGATTTAGTTTTGACAGAGAAAAGAACATGAACTTTTTCAGAAGACTAAACTTGTATTTTTTAATAAGAACAAAATAAATAACTAAAAGGAAGAAATTACTATATTTCCTCAAAGGACATTCACGTGAAAAATGACAAAATGTATACTTTCTTACAAACTCTAATTATGCATTTATTTTTAAGATAACAATCTAATTTTTCCTTCTAATCAACTATCTATTTACCTATTAACCCCAGAAATAATCCTGTCTATACTTCTCTTCCCTGTGAATATTTTATAGTATTACAATAAAAGCATGGCTTCATAAATAACATGCAGCACTGCTCTGTAGTTTCTAATTTCTGTAAGTTCGCAGGGTCACCACTGTGCAGCCTCTCATTTGTACTTCCTAAACTGCTGTCCCTTTCCTTCAACCTCTCTCCCCTGCAAACCCTTTCTTTCCCCAGTTCTCTGTAACTGTACGCAGGAACACTACAGTGTGAAGATTGTGACAAGCTTAAGGATGTTTGTTTAGATATCAATTCTCATATTTAAATAATACAGATTCCAAGAAAATTAGGTACTTTAATATTGTACTAAGAATGTGCACTAAATGGCGAATCCCTCCTTGCTTGCAGTAGCATGACTGTGATCCTCCAGGGTGTCATGCCACTACTCTCTTACTCTTTCATTACTGCTTCTGATTGGAGCAGCTTTTCTATGGAACACCTTATCTATTCCTTTGCAAAATTGGATGTTGTGATCTTCTTATCAAATTTGGAAAGCTCATCCTAATAGACATCGATCCTTCTATATTAATAACCCTTCTATATTACTGCACTTACATTTCTTGTCCAACTTGAATGGAAATGATCATAATATTTTGCCATGTTTTCCTGAACCTATGTAATCAGGTATGTCTAGTGTTTATTTCTAATTTTAATTATGGAGGCTTCACCCCTAGATTATACAAATAGTCTCTTCGCTCATAGAAATTCTACTTTCAATTTTTCACACTTTTACTCCAGCATGAAGTCAGGTTTAAAACAAATATCCATTTTAGTGTCTCAAGCCGGAGAGGGGTCATCATCAGTGTTAGTTATTCAACAGTGCACTATTCTAACGAATAATCCAAATATTTTGTCTTCTATTAAGCTCTTTCATTTAGTGGATTCTATTTCTAGATGCTGTCCTCCATAATATATTTGCCTATTCTTAATGCCAATGCCATATCAATCTTATTATAGTGATTTTACAACAGGATCTAACATCAAAAAAGGTGAGTTTGCTCTTACTTTTTTAACTCCAAAAGATTTTTGTCATCTCTCATAATCCATATAAATGTAGGAATATTCATAAAATTTTAGATACTTTTGAGAATGGAGTGTTGTTCCCTATTGCCCTTCCTAGGTATTTCCAGTTTAATGGATTCAAAATCTTTATGTAAAAAAGATATCACATAATGTTATCAATTTTACATTTTAATTAATTTTTATTAAATCTTTTTGGGATACTATTTAATCAAATTATTACAAGAAAATATTTAACCATTTTTTTAATTAATTTTTTAGACCTTCAAAAATATTGAATAATAAGTGCTTGCCTGGCAAGCACAAGGGCCTGAGTTCAATCCCTAGCTCTGCAAAAAAAAAAAAAAAAGAACAATTAAAATATTGAGTAGTGGTATTATAAATTGTATTTACATTAAAATTTGACTTAAGCTGTATTTAATAGTATTTTATAGCTTTTCTATAAGCAATTTCTGCTTGTGCTTGGTTAAGCTGATATTTTACACTTAAATATTTTCCTGTTAACATAGACTTTTCAGTAAGAGGAGCTGCTAATCACGTCATGATTACAACCCATCACTGACGGGATGCTCACGGGAGCCACTTGCCTTTGGGAGGTGATATGTACTGCTGTCCACTGGACTTCAGCCGACGGCCAAGAAGAATGGTATCACCCGTGTAGTTAATGACATGTGAATCAGATATACCGCTGTTCTCGCTTCAGTGGCTGTGTCTGTTACTTCAGAGAGGTTGGATTTTTTTTATTTTGTATTACCTCTACAATAATTTGGTTTTACATTAATTACATTAATTCTTTCTTGGGAAAAGGAAGGAAATATTTAGCAGGAAAAACCCAAAAACCCACAAGGGAGAACAAATCCTATGGTGGTAAACTAAGCTCTATAAAGCCAAGCACCAAAGTGAACTGCAAGCGCATCACTTACGGATAGAGTTGTGAAAGCTGCCGGGCGAGCGCATGGGCTGCTGGGTCTCTGTCTAAGGCATACACTGCAATGTCTGGTTCCTCTTGGAGAAGGGCTCTTGTGTGTCCGCCTGAACCAAATGTCATATCTAGAAAAACCTAGCAGACAGACAGAAAGAAAATCATACTTAGCATGAGCAGAACTTGTTCTTACAAGCAATCATAATTTCCCGAAGTGCACAGTGATTTTCCGAGTTCAGAAAAAAATAGAAAAATTAGATTTTGCCAGAGTTAATATTTGCATAATATGAAATCTTGCTCAGTTATGACTTAGCAATTTGGGGGAAAAAATGATCACAGTATCAGTAACATAACTGGTCACAGTCTGGCTAACAAAGACAAGCTTACATTTGTCCAGAAGGCCAAACGGCCACATGACTCTGGGACAGCTTTTTCATATTTTAGCCACCAGCTGATAATAATTCTTCCAATAAGTTTTTGCCATTTGGAGATGGCTTAAAATTAGTGTGGCTTACTTTATCTTAGTGTTCCTAAATGCTTTATATAAATAAAATGTATTTGTGGGGGAGAGAATGAGACAGACAACAAGGGAAAGGAGGGTGTAAGCAAAAAAGGACAAAAAGAAACTGAGTGAAAATGAATAAATCTAAAAATAGTCATAGGGAAAATCAAATATAACCTGGATAATTAAAATTTAACAAATACACCTAGATATAACTTATGGTTTTTTAAGTCAAAATACCCACAGTGAATTCTAGGTTTGAAACTATACATAACTACATAGCTTTGGAAAAATCACTTAATGTCATAAAACCCGAGCGTTTAGATTCTCCAGTGTCTAACAAGAAGGTAGCACTATCACCTGCCTACAAGGTAAGATTAGCACAATTTCTCACATAAAACAGGACACTTTTCAGAGTACAGACAATGTCAAACCAAATTTTGCCAGGACAACAGAAGCGCACGGATGTGAACTCAGCGGGCCTCTGAGGGTAAGGATCACTGCATGCACGCGATACCGTTCACCGGACCTCAGTCTACTTCTTGGCAATTTCATTTCGCCACATTGTAAAGAGAATCATCAGGTCACAGTTGAGCAAAAACCCAAATCAGGACCTTGAGAAACGTGTGTGTACCAGTTAGTTGATTGTGACTGACTCAGAAGCTGAAATATTCTTCACAGTCCTCTGAAGGTCAATGAACTTTGCTACTATCAGAAAATTAAAACTTACTAGAAGGGCTGGCCAGATAGCCCAGCAGATTAAAGCATCTGCTTAGGCAGATGCAGGGGTCGGAGGTTTGATCCCCAGAGTGCCAAGCTGGCCCCAACCCTGGGGCGCACTGAGATGGCGATTGAGACTGGGTGAGGTAGCACTAAAAAAAAAAAAAAAAAAAACCTAGAAAATTACACTAATAATATTGATCACAATATTGGCAACCTATGTTTATCAGTGAGATTTAAAATAACTTCAATGTATTTTTAAATTATGTATATATTGGAAAAAAAAGGTGAGTCCTGCAATGGATTTAAGTATTTCTTTTCCTCCAGTATTACAGCTTATTTCAGAGAATCTGGTTACAAGCAGAGCACAATTACACTTTGATTTGTGGCTCTCATTAACCAAGCCAAGTCCCACCCTCTGATCAAGTCAGTCTGCCACGAAAAGAAAATATGAAGGTCTCTTCTGATTAAAATTGAGCAAAGGATGGATGTAAAATGTAAACAAGGTGCAAGTGTGGTAAAGATGGACAAGCATTTCTTCACAGCAAAGTCTCGTGCACTTCATCTTGCACTTCCACACCTATCAGCACCAAGGGAAAGGGGTATCTATGTATACATGCTCACCATTTTAAGCAGTAGTTATATCATGAGTTCACACTTAAATCCAACGATCAAATTATTTTCTCAGCTTGTAAACGTATTCAACGCATTTATGAATGGAAAAATGTGCCTACTGCTTCCTACTTCAGTTTTCCAACTGTGAGTTCAGTATAATTTAAACAATTTTCTTCATGTAAAACTATAAACCACTTCCTGACAATGGCACTAATACCAAGTCTTGCTATAATCCTGGATTTAAATTAAGAATCTGGCAAATAACACAATTTGCCTATGATTATCCTAGCCAAAGCCAAGCCAAGCAACTCCCAATCAATGTTTTAAATCTTCTACTGATTTATTTATTTGGAGCAGGGTCTCACTACACAGCTCAGACTCATAGTGATCTCCTTGTCTTAGCCTCCCCTTTGCTCGGATTGCAAGCGCGCATCACCACGCCCAGTTTCAGGGCCAGCACAGCATGCAGTACGGTACAGTACAGTACAGTATAGGGGATTGAACCTGGGTCCTTGTGGTGGCCAGGCAAGCACTTAGACTGCTGAGCAATCTCCCCAGTCCTCCCAATCAGTATTTTAAAAGAAAAATGCTCCTTATTAAGAATATTCTAGAAATTGTGAGACGACAACAATAATTTACATGGTTATTTCTTAGTATGTCATGATTGTGCCTTTGGCGATATATTGACAATCAAGGAAGTTTCCACAGGAAAGCAAAACAACTACTATTATCAATCAGGTTCCAAATGGAAAGCAAAATACGGAAGACAAAGAGTCTGATGAGATGGAAAGTAAACCTACCCTGCCTGTGTCCTGTGTTGATAGGTGCCCAGAGACACATGCAGTGCTCACAGTGACACCTAGATCCTACGAGCCACCCTGTTCTACAAATAAAAAACAACAAACACCATTAGCTTTTCTCTCCTTGTGGGTCATTGCTATGACAGAAGACAAGAGTATTTATTTATAGAAGTTGGTAATAAAATAGGAGACTGATACACATATATTTTTTTAAGTGCCTAAGAACAAATATCTGAATGTTTCAAAGAAATCTTTCTATGAATTTCATCTATGCATATATTTCAAAAATGAATCTCAGGCTGTGAATATAAGTAGAATTCTTGCTTTGAAGTTACCTTAAATAACTTGAAATATCAAACTCACATTTGATATTATCAGCTTATTCTGATTTTTCACTTACAAATGTATATTCCTGATTAAATTATTTTAATTCCCTGAACTTTAATTATTTCTCCTAACAAGAAAGTACAACACATCTGTTTACCTCACAAGACACTTACAAGGAGGCCTTATCTCTCCATATAACTGCAGCACAGACTTCACAGATATGGAAGCTAAGATCCCAGGAAGCTAGTGGAGGCCACAAGGAGGGCTCCAGGCCTTCTGCGCTTCCGCACGCCGGTCTGTCTGCATCCTCCAGTCGAGTCTGCGGACTGCGCTGCGGTTTACCTAGCAGGAGTGCTTTCTATCTGTGCAGACCTCCAGATGGGAAGCATTACTTCCGTTTTACAGAAGAGAGAAAAGATGACTTGATCAAGGTCACGTTACAAGTGAGGAGGAACGATCTCCAAGTCTCACTCACACTCATTTCCATGCTCTTCCCGAGAGAAACACTGGATGGAGGAAGAACCACGGTTGAGATGGCCCAACACCAGGGGACAACAGTCGTGTGTTTCCAGGCTGGCCATCCTCCCCTGGGATTCTTTCAAGCTTTGAAAATGATGTCTTTCCTAACCCACATTCCCCTCCCTCCCTTCCTCACTCTCCTTCCTTTACTACCAAGTGCATCAGGCTAAGTGTTGAGGTATGTTTCTCTCCTCCTATCCTCCAACTTCTTTCAGGCAGGTGTCTAGGTACCCAAAGCTTTAGATGTTCCGCAGAGATTTTTGCAGTGAAAGGAAAAAATATTTTGTTTTTCCCATCTTTTGAAAATCACTACTTTCCTATGTTTTTGAAAAAAGCAAAGCTCAGAGAGACAGAATGTTAGTTATTCAGGTAGGTACTATCTTTAAGGAAAGGGAAGAGATTTCTCTGGCATTAGTTACACAGTATGGTAGACAAGACCAAATGCAGGAAGGTGGAGGACCACGAAAGCGAGTGACACTAAGATCCACGGCACTGGCCTGCAGCATGGTCACAGGATTTCTAGGACCTCCAGGGATCTTCTTGTCTCTCTATGGAACACAAGCAGCAGTGTTTTGGGCTGCACACCTTAGACATAAGGTGGCTCAGGGCACACCACGCATGGCTGGGGAGGGTCAGGATGTGGAAACTGCATACCTTGGCAGTGTGGGCTTGGAGATCAGAGCAAGGGGCTGACAGATTCTCAGAACAAGCTGCCTTCAGAATGAGAATGAAAATGACTTGAAGACAAAAATCAACCTTGAAGTCCTAGCCCAGGCCCGGTGAGTGTGTGGGAGGCCGTCCGGCTACCTTGCACCGGCGGGACCTGCCGGTCCCAGCCCAGGCGCAGCTTGGGTAAGAACCTCTTCTACCCCACACGACCCCCACCACCACTCCGCAGCACAACCCCATCCTGCCCGCCGAGTAGGAATATCTGCCGTGTTCCGGGAACCCCCAGATCCAGTCCTGACCAAGGCCTGGTGAGTGTGTGGGAGAGAGTCCAGCTACCCTGTGCCAGCAGGACCTGCCAGTCCCAGCCCAGGCGCAGCATGTGTGACACCCTTTTCCACCCCCTTGGGACGGACACCACCACTCCATAGTACCACCCCAACCCGGCCACTGCATGAGAATGTCTGTTGCGTTCTACGGACCCCTACGTCCAGTCCTAGACCAGGCCCAGTGAGAGTGTGGGAGAGCTTCCGAATACCCTGCATCGGTGGGACCTGCTGGTCCAAGCCTAGGCTCAGTATGCGTGAGACCCTCTTCACCCCCTTGGGGCCCCACCACCACCACTCCGCAGCACCCCACCGCACCCAGCCCGCCCAGTGAGAATTTCTGCCACATTCTGGGGACTGAGAGATCCAGTGCTAGCCCAGGCCCAGTGAGTGTGTGGGAGAGGTTCCTCTCCCCACTACTCCACCTTATCCCCTCAAGGAGCTGAGCACAGTAGCCAGACCCAAGCCAGGCACAGCTGGATAAATCCAAACTTTGTAGATCTGCACCTGAACTTCAGTAGGTGCTAAGGATATAACTGCAACAAAGCTCTACAACAAAGGTCAGAAGACAGTGCTACACAAAAGGACAACGTGAAGGAACAAAATGCAATCTCAGACCCCAAACCCACCCAAAACAAGTGCAGAGGACACTAAGACAGAACA